CGGCGTTAAATTTAATATAAGCAGCGTAAGTCTTTTCGATCAGCTGTTTAGGCTAAGCACAACACGTTGAGTTCAGCTAGCGTAAAAATTTTCCGCTGGAAAAAATGGCGGAAAGTTGCCAACTGTTGGGCTGAGCGTAACTACTCAACTGTGCGTTTCTAAGACAAACAGACCACGGTTACCCATATACGGAACATGCGAGTAACGAGATTATTATATGAGTAACGATTAGGTACTTCGAGTCAGGGGTTGTATTCGTTACTCAGTAACGAATACATAGGGTTCGCTACAGCTCTAGCAGCCGGTCAGTTTGCGTTTGTACTTCATGCCACAGTATATACAGTAATAAACCTTTTCGCAGTTTTTCACCATTTGGTCCCCGAGGAGTACTTTTGTGTGCAGCGCTTTCGTTTTGCGCGCACGGCAACACTTACTGTGGGGAAAAGATTGATTCGAAAAAGTTCATTTCGAGGATAAAATATACATAATTATGTGTTATTTATGAACAAAATGTAGGTGAAGTTGATATTCTTCTTTAATGTATGCTGATATTCATGCTTAATGAAGAATAATATCAATAGTTAAGTACGTAATTAACGCTTGTGTTTTATAAACTGGAAAACTCAAATCGTAATTATAGCATTGAATGGAGTTTTCTTAAATGTAAGTTTAAAATAAAAAAAAGTCCATTGTAAGATTATATTTTTATGAAAAGCGTAAATTTTGTGAATTTATCAAGCCAAATTCTAAATTTCCGAAAATATTTAAGTCTTTATTTAAAAAAAACAAGGTTTGTATAGCTATACAGACCCCAATGCCTGCCAGCGCATCCGCCCAGACAGTCTATTCAGCACACCCAAGTTTGAGTGATCTACAAGTTACAAGCGTTTTCAGCATTTAACAGTTCATTATCATGTACGGTGTAATATTAATAATTATACACTGAACTATGAACTATGAACTATCTGTACTAGTATCTATAATAATAGACAATAATTTGCAATGTTTTTACAATTTTGCAATTAGTTTCGGGCACTATTACACATTCATGACTTATGCCACTCTGCCATAGTACGGTTGTCGCTCCCTTTCATACCACAGTAATTTTGTATACAACTCTGAATCAGCAAAATGCATGCTCTTTCTCATTTTCAACCCTGATCAGATTTTACCCCCGAGGAGTACTAAAAAAAGGTTTATTAGTGTATATACTGTGCTTCATGCTGTAAGCATCACACGCGCGAGCTGTTTTGCTGAGTACACACATACAGACACAAAAATATTGCGCTTGTACTGGGAGCTCTGCCAACGCTGTGCACCACTGGTCTACATACATACATTACGTTAATATATGGGATTATCTTAATCAACGATATCTTTCTAAGCTTCCGTTTTCAATTCCATCAGTGTCATAGTTTGTAGTAGCTCTGTAAAACATAAATCATTTCATAAACTGTAATAACATGAATTATGCGTGAATTTCATAAGATTTAAACATATTACCTCATGTGAATTCCTTGCATTTCTTCTGGAACATTAAAAGTTTCTTTACAGAATTTCAAACGATTTTGTAGGTATAACAGAGATATTTTAGGATCCGACAAGTAAATAGCTCGATTAAATACATCTAAAATTCTGAGCTATTTACTGACTACTGATACTTAACTGAAAACAATCATGTAAAATAGTTAAGTGCAAGATCTATACATAGAAGGTCGCGAAATAAAAATTGCCTCTCTCTGCGCATATGGTCCCAGGGCGATTTTTTGCTTTCACGCCTTCATGTCGAAAAAGCCACAAAACCTGATCACAGCGGCAAATTTTTGCGAAATTTTTACTTAAACTCGTTATATCTCAGACGTTTATGTACACAATAAACTAGATTCTATTCTAAAGAAGTTGAGTCTAACTACACTTCCTAATACTTATTAAAAACAAAATGGCGGTTATTTTAATTTTTTTATAAAAATTAAGGAGGTGGTTTGTGCAAATGCAAAAGTTGTGTTATGAAGTTTAAAATTTTTATTTTGTTTTAAAGCAGCATTGTAAACAAATATATACCAAAATTTTTGGGAAAGTTTCATGTTTAGACAACAAGTAGTTCTAAAGTTATAACAATACTAGCAGACCCGGCGAACTTCGTCCCGCCCAATATTGAAACTTTTTGGTCCAAGATTGTCACCAACAATTCACGTTTACAATTTTCATAGGCACATTCGTCTGCTAAGATTATGGTTTGGTGGTCATTTGCCGCTTTAAATAACCTAAGGAAAGTGTTATATCCGTGGAGAAGTTCTTGAAATTCTCCAGTTGTGCGGCATTTTATAGCACGGTTATTCACAAAGCGAAATAAATTTTTTCCTCTTCACTCCCTGGCGGCAACAACCCGGTTCTATAGTGAATGTCCTAGAAGCTTTACAGTATAGTTGGTGGCAATTTCAAAATGAGTGCGAATCATTGTTCTACAGAAATGCAATATACATATACTTATTTCAGACGAAATACCTTAAAAGTTTGAAGCATAATAGTATTGGAAAATCACATCCATTGGGCCAATCGCAACGCAGGAGCGTTCGATATACCCAATGGTGCAACAGGTCGATTTAATCTGACCTTCACGGCCTCTTTTCTCACTTGGCTATTTTTAGTAATAGCTCGACTTCAGCACCACTTGGCAGCACGTTTTTGCAATAGTATTGCATACATATTTAAAACATTAGCCAAATCGCATCATAAATAAGATTTTTAGTAATAACTCAAATACAGCGCCAACTGTCGGATTAAAT